CTAATAGATAAGAAAGTAAAAACAAAAACAAAAACAAGCAAAACAAATCACCATGTTCCTGGAATACTTCTGAGTAACAGTTTTCTTGACTAAATCAGCATTTAACATTAAAAACAGATCTTACAATTCTTTATTTTGTCAACAGAACAACTAAAACAACTCAAATACTAATGTACATTTCTTTATGTCTAAATCATCTCCTTTAACCATCTTTAATGTTAAGTAAATCAATAGATTATTTATTCTCTATTAACAAAGACCAAATTTACTCGTTACCTTTGATAACAATAAAAAATAATGTAGCTAAAATGCTGGCTTCCTAATTCAGTAAATATTTATTTGTAGTAATTAGTAGAGACACATGGGCACTTAAATCTATACCTCTAATTTTTAACCCTGTAAGTTTATTGGTTTTTGTTTTATTTCAGAAGGAGAGAACAGAATTGTGGTTACTAGAGAAGGGAAAGAGGGAGGGGGAGTGGGGATAGTGAGAAATTGGTTAATGGACACAAAACAGCTAGCAAGGAAAAACAAGTTCTACTGATGTACTGTCAAGCTAGGCATCTATGATTAACATTAATTTACTGCCTACTGTCAAATGGCTAGAAGAGAGGAGATCAAATGTCCTCAACACAAAGAAATGATTATGTTTTGTAATGATGAATAAGCTTATTATCCTGATTTGATCACCACACAGTGTACACAGGTATTGATATTCAACTCTGTACCCCATAAATGTGTACAATCAATTATGTTTCAATAAGAAAATTTTTACTGTTTCATTACAAATATTAAAATATATTTAAAAAGTACAGGTAATATGATCACAAATACCCACTGCTCAGCTCTATGACAATTTTTACCATACTTAGTTTACATTTCACTTCAAAAATAAACATTCCAAGCCAACAGATGCAAAATTTCGTAACTAGTAAGTTAATACCAACTCATCTTCAATATTAACTTAAACTAAACTTAAAATGAGAAATGGCTGTGGAGTTGAAATTAAGCATTTGAATCCATCCTTCCTTCAGCATTTACAGTAGAAGCTTTCATTAAAATAGAATTATCTTTGAGAAAGTTGTTAGGTCATATAAAATTGCATTCTAGTGACCACTCAGGGAAAAAGCTAGTTCTAAACTAAGGTGAAATTTAACATTTTTTCTTCCTGCCTCCACTTAAAATGCCTGGAGATCCAAGAATTAAAACAAACAAAAAACAAAAAACAAATCACAGTCCAATGGGACAACTCTGTGTCAGCACCCAGCACAGTTCCTGGCACATAGCAGGTACTCAGTAAATAATTGCTGAATTAATGAGAGGAAGGGAGAGAAGGAGGGAAGTAAAAATCAAGCAAGGAAAAATGGAAAGAACACTTGTACTTAATTCAAGAATTACCTATGATCTATCTACAGCAGTCTTTTAGAAGCCATTGCCTACTTTATATCTTTCTGGCAGAGTAAAAGAATCTTCCTAAACTCAAGAGATCAAAGTCTACATTTCCCAGCTCTTGAAGAATATATAATCCTTAGTCCACCTCTAAACGTAAATAAACATCTCTCTCCAAGAAAAAGCTATGGAATATGTTGCACAGTTTCCAGAGAATATTTCTTCAAGAAGAACATCAAAATTCATTTTCTCCAAGACTTCCTTCACCAATCCTGTCCATCCCTAAGCATCCCTGATTTCTACCTATGCAACATTTATATGGGTATTTTGTAAACCATATTGACCCTTTTATTCATTTACTGACTATTCTTTGCACCTTTTCTGTACCTGCAATTCCAAATCTTCCCCCTCAATAGGAAATCTAAACTGTCATTTCAGGTCTTCAATCATGCACTCTACATTCTTCAAATAACAGTGACTTCTATTTCAGAGGCAATAGCAAGAAAAATTAAACACTCTTTCCTCCTCCAAATATCCCTCCACCACTAAATGGGAGTCAGAAGAGCAGGATTTGGGCCTGAGCTCAGGTACTAACGTGGCACAAGGAGACTGGCCCTCCGATCCCCAGATTCCGTCGAGCTCACAAATCTGATGAACGCTTTTCATAACTGCACTCTGCCTTCCTCCACTCATTTCTTCTCTCTTTTCTCCAAATATGCATAGGCCTCCTTCATTTTACAAAACCTTTCACTTGAATTAACTCTTTCTCCTCATGGTGTTCTCTCCTCTATTTATTTCCAAATTTCCTAAAATTGGGTAGACTATAACTACAATTCTTTTTCACCCTTTAATTTCTCTTTAACCCATAAAATTTGGGTTTTTGTCCCTCCTACTCCATGAAATGGCACTCTTGAATACCATTAATAAATTATTTCTAAAAACTTTCTTATTATGGAAAATTTCAAATATGTACAAAGTAAATACTAATGAACCTGTATGTACCCATCCCCAAGCTTGAACAGTTGTCGATATTCTGTCATTCTTGTTTCACCCATACCTACACCCATTACCACCCCTACTTTATTATTATTTTATAGTTTCATCAGATAAAATGTACCTACATTATAATTGTAATTTTTATTGTAACTGTAAATTGCAGCACCCTATCAGACATAGAACATCTCCATCTCCCTGGAAAGTTTCTTCGTGCTCTTTCCTTTGAATTAGTTCTTAAAAAAACAAATCCAGATGACTTTTCTCAATTATCAACCTCATTGACTTGTTGGCAGCATCTGTTGTTACTGACTGTAGCTTTTTTTGAAATTTCCCTCGATTTCTGTGATATAAAAGTATTCCAATCTATCCTGAAGTCATGTCAGTCTTACCTCCAAAATATACCTCGAGCCTGTCTTTCCTCCACTCCCAGTGCCACCACACTAACGCAGCCTGGCATCTTGTCTCTCATCTGAATGGCTGCAAGCGTCTTCCCACTGGGCTTCCTGCCACCACTCCTGTCTCTCTCCAATCCACTCTCCAGACAGGGGCCAGAGTGATCTCTTAAAATGCAAATCATGGGCCGGCCCGGTGGCGCACTGGAGAGTGCCCCGCTTGGGAGCGCGGCGGCGCTCCCGCCGAGGGTTCAGATCCCATGTGGAGACCGGTTCCCGCTCACTGGCTGAGCACGGAACACCGAGGGTTGCGATCCCGTTACCGGTCAGTAAAAAAGACAAAGAAAAGGAAAAAAAAAAAAGACTGTGATATAGGGCCGGCCTGTGGCTCACTCGGTAGAGTGCGGTGCTGATAACACCAAGGCCACGGGTTCGGATCCCATATAGGGATGGCCGGTTCGCTCACTGGCTGAGCATGGTGCTGATAACACCAAGTCAAGGGTTAAGATCCCCTTACCGGTCATCTTTAAAAAAAAAAAAAAAAATGCAAATCATTTCACATTACTCTGCAACTGAACAGCCTTCAATGGTTGCCCAGGATACTGAGAATAAATCCACGTTCTACATTGTGGCCTTCAAGAAATTGCAAGGTCTCTGCCTCCCTGTCTAACCTGTCACACTTGGCCATATGCGTTTCTGATAGTTCTTGGAAGAGGCCAACGGCTTTTGTGGCTGTTCTCTCTTCAAGCTGCTCCCTTGTCCTTAAGGTCTCAGCTGAAATGTCCCTTTCTCAGGGAGGTCTTTTGTGACTAGTCTATGCTCGTCCTCCCAGTCACTCTATGTTACACTACTTTATCTTCTTCATAGTACTTATCATAATCTATAATTATTATCTTTATTTGTATTTGTTTATTTGTGTTTCCCACTAAAACGTAACCATTTTCAGAGTAGGAACCATGTCTTTTTGCCTTTTTTTTTTTTTTGTCTTTTTTTCATGACCGGCAACGGATCGCAACCCTCAGTGTCGCGCCCGCACTGGACCGGGACCGGCAATGGGATCGCAACCCTCGGTGCTGCGCCCGCACCTTGCTCAGCCAGTGAGCAGCCGGTCTGTATGTGGGATCCGAACCTTCGGTGGGAGCGCCACCGCGCTCCCAAGAGGCGCACTGTAGCAGTGCGCCACCGGGCCGGCCCGGAACCATGTCTTTTTGGTTCATTATTGTATCCTGTGATAACATCTACTTAAAAATTATTTATTGGAAAAAACTGATTTAGTTCAAAATCACTGTTTTGTAGAAAATTCCCCCACTTTCCCTCAAAACAAGCTACCTTTCCTAACTGCTTTCTGTTAACAGATATCCAGAAACTATGTTACCATAGTACTTGATAAATTGCTGCATTCCAAATATAAGATTTTAAACAAAAGGAAACGAAGAAAAAACACAAAAACCTGAATTAATCTAAGACTGGTGAAGGTGAAGTTATAATCTAATTTCTGATTAACAAAAGCATCTACTTACTGCAAGTATTAAAAGAATGTCCTTTTATTCTTTAGTCTAATTAATTCTGAACTGATAAACTATTCAGTAATTGAAAAATCGAGAAGAGTAGTCTTTTTTTTTTCCCAAAAAGGAGGTGGAAACTGATTTTATAGTACAATAAAATATTCTATATTAGTATAATTACCTGTTCACCAACCGATCTTCCAATTACACCTTAGCCTTCCAGAGAGAAAATGTACTAGCTAGAGGATCCAAGAATCCCATCTTCCTCAACATATTTAAGCAAATTAATAAATTAGTATCTTGGGAAAGGGTATATGCATACCTCAGAAATCCAGGGTGTGTGTATCTTGGGTGTCCTGGGTATGTGTGCCTCCCTGTGTGTGTACCTCACGGGTTCTGACTACCCCTAAATGAGATTCAGAGTCTTGATGAGTCTGATAAACATCTACAGCCTTCTGCTTTGGCTACAGAAAGAAGGAAGAAATCTGGTGAGATGAGAAAGAAAAACCAAGAGGACAGTATGGCATGTGTCCCTCTACTCAACACATGGACAAGATCACAACCCTGTAGAGGGGGGATTCAGAAAGAAGGTGAAGGAGCCGTTCTCATGAGGCACTTGGGGGCTTAGGGCACAAGCAGTGCTTCTCTGAAGCCCAGGTCATAAAGTGCAACTTGGTGAATTACAGCATGAGGCAAATAGGCAGCAAAGACTGATGCGATGGCAACCCGGTGACATTTTTTTCCCCACTTTTTAAATTTAATAATTTATTGATGTGAAATTCACATAACATGAAGTTAACCATCTTAAGGTGCACAATTTAGTGGCATTTAGTATATTTACAATATTGTACATTCACCACCTCTATCCCTCAAAGGGAAACCCCATACCCATCAGGCAGTCAAAGCCCTCTCCTCTTCCTCCCCCAACTAATCCCCAGAAACCACCAATCTGCACTCAGTCTCTATGGATTTATCTTTTGCACATGTCATATAAATTGAATCATACAGTATGTGACTTTTGCACCTGGCTTCTTCCACTTAGCATGATGTTTTAGAGGTTCTTAGTGACATTTTGACACCTCTCCACTTCTGCTCTGGTGAAGGAATAAGCCTTCCCACAGAGAGCACAGGTAGTAGTGGCAGCAGCAAAGGATCCCCCCAGGTGGATCCAGGGTAGCAGATAATGCTGTGGGTGCTGGGGACTGCTCAGGAGACAATGTGAGATACCCTCAGGAACTCCCAGGAAGAACTAGAGACAATTGTAAATGAAGAAAAAGGAAAGTAAGGTGATACCGAGGGTCCCATGTTACTAGGTCAAGAAAGAGCCAAAGAAATTCAGGACATGGAGCCAGATATAAATAGACATACAGATAAACACACAGACAACATTTTAATACAGGGTTTGACAATGATGATAATCCTTCAGCTTTAGCTTGAAAAACCAAAACCAATTACCACTTAAAAATTTATAATAGAAAAATGTCTAAAAAATTATCAGTGACTGCCTCTGTGCAACAAGAATAATGGACAGGTTTTTACTTTTTACTTTATATACTTCTGATTTGTTCTAATTTCTTATAAGTATATATAACTTTCATAATAAAGTTTAAAAGATATAGTACTAGTATTCTAAAAATGAATCACAAAGTACTCTGTTGTTCAATAAAATTTATTTTAAATTTGTCATAAAGCATAACAAAAATGTATATTGAGAAGGAAAAAAATTTCAATCTTAGGTTAGGTTCTAATTTAAATCAACCTAATTTCTAAGTTTACCTAAAGTAAAATACCCACTCTACTCATCCACTGCCTCTATTGTTTAATTTCTACTCTCAGACTGTTTGTATCTTTAAGTAATTTACTGACCTTGGAACTGCTTTCTTCTGATACTTCTCCCTCATTGGTTTGCATGGGAACAGACTCTGTGCAAAACTCTGCAGAAACACACAAACACTGCCTAAAAGAGGGAAGAAGAGAAAAAATATGTAAGGAATTCATGGCAAAAATTTGTTTTTTTCAAAGTTTTAGACTGAAATTCTGTCACTGAGACCATGGATACCATGAAACAATGTTTTGTGTGTGTGTATGTGTGTGCGTGCGTGTGCGCGCACACAAACAGTGGACTTGCTGTTATGCTGCAGCAGGTCACACTGCCTGATAATCAGCCTAGGCTATTGGAACTGGCCGGGCTTCTTGGATTTATCACTTATGTTCAACATTCTTGGTTTTTTTTTTTTGTCTTTTTCCGTGTCCGGCAACGGATCGCAACCCTCAGTGTCGCCCCCGCACCGGACCGGGACCGGCAACGGGACCGCAACCCTCGGTGTTGCTCCCGCGCCTCGCTCAGCCAGTGAGCGGGAACCGGTCTGTATGTGGGATCCGAACCCTCGGGCGGGAGCGCCGCCGTGCTTCCCAAGCGGCGCACTATCCAGTGCGCCACCGGGCCGGCCCAACATTCTTGGTTTTTTATAAATGAAATTAAGATGCATTCTAATGCTTGATCCCACTTTTTAAAAGAGAATATGCTTAATAAACTCAATGTCAGTCAATTAATTTTTATATGAAACTAAGCTATTTATACAGCAAAACAATAAAAAGTAGTAATTTTTCCTCTAAGAATAAAATGAGGTTATATAGGTTCCAGTCAAGATGGCAGAACAGCCGGTTCCCAGAGTCACTCTCTCCCATAAATCAATCAATTTACAACTATAAAAATGTAACATCAGCTAAGCTGGGGCTGCTGGAGCTAAGGGGAAGAGGAAGAGAGACCTATAGAGTTCAGGGAGGCGGGAGAAAACACGATGAGAAAAAGAAAAAGCTGCTCTGAGCATTTTGGGCCGCGGCTGCTTTAAGGCTCAAGCTGATGGGCGCATGGAGCAGGAGCTGGCAGAAGCCGCAGCTGTGCCCTTCAGATGAAGTTACTTGGAGGTGGCAGGAGAGAAGAGGGCCTTGGCGACCCCCAGGACAGCAAGACCAATAATAGGGTTCCTGTGGACTCACGCAGGAGTGAAGAGCCAGAACAACTGAAAAAAGGAAGCCATTCAGAGGCTGGTGAGTCATCACAAGGGCCCGTCCCATGGGAAGTGTTTGGAGCATGGGTGATGGGTGAGATGGGAACACCGGGAGAACACTGGGACACAGCAAGGACAGCCGACCTGCCCCTCAATCAGCGCAGGACCACTCAGAGGAGACTGGTCAGGAATGCAAAATTGCATGGGGTACAGTTTGATGAAAAAACTCAGGCCCAGATCATAGATTCTACAGAAAGCAGATCCACCGAGTCTCTTGAGAGCCCGAAGTATCTATAAGATCAAACATTAAATCCTGAGCTGCACAAAAAGCCTTCCCTAGGGACACAGCAGCAAAGCAGCAATTTAAGCAACCACACAGCTCAAGCATTGGTTTCCACAGGAAGTTCCCCCGTGTTAGAAATAAAGGACAAAAAATTAGTTCCATCCCAGGCACACCACCAGCAACTTAGGTCCAGCCTGGGGACCCAAGGCATGGAGAAGGGGACCAGACCCTCCTCCCACAACCAGGCACACAGTGCCAGTGCCTCGGGCCTGCCCAGGGCAGGACCAGAGGCATGGAAAAGGGGACCAGACACACCCCACAGACAGGCACACTGCCAGCGCCAAGGAACATGCCCAAAACATCACCTCCATGTGGGTGACCCACCACAGCCACCACAATAACCATGGCTTCCGTGAAAGCGGCTAGACGCCACAACCACCATGCAGATGGTCCGTCAGCCACTGGAGTGCATTGACACAAGGAGAGTCACCAGCAGAGACAAAGAAAAGAAGAGGATGTCTCTCTCCGCAAAGCCCATTTCAGAGTGACAGAAGAAGCACTGCTCTACGATAATACTGGGGAATCTGATCACACCTCTCAGCATTGGACAGATCATCTAGGCAACAAATTAACAGAGTAACCATTATTCTTTCAGAAGGAGAGAAGAAAGGCTGGCCCAGTGGCGCACTCGGTAGAGTGCAGCACTTGGGAGCGCAGCGGCGCTCCCGCCGAGGGTTCGGATCCCATATAGAGACCGGTCCACTCACTGGTTGAGCGCAGTGCGGGCGCGACACCGAGGGGTGCGATCCCGTTGCCAGTTGCGGTAGGGGCGCAACACTGAGGGTTGCGATCCTGTTACCAGTCACGAAAAAAGACAAAAAGGGAAAAAAAAAAAAAGGAGAGAAGAAATCTAGGGCAATCAGAGGGGAGATGGAGGAGGGAGAGCGGAATGGGGAGAGATTGGACAAGGGGCAAAAAGAATAATTATAATTTGTAACAATATATATACTAGTAATATTGACTTGATCAATATATCTCAATGTTCAACCCCCAAAATATGTATAATTGATTTTGATTCAATAAATAAAATTATTTTTAAAAAGAAAATAAAATGAGTCAGGCAAAAGTTTGTTAAAATTTTATGAATAAAATATGCCAAAGGAAACTACTAAAAATTTATTCAACATTTTAATGAATTCATTGAATATATAATTATTGAGGAATAATGACTCTGACACAGAACAAATCTCCATTTAATAAAGGTACGAATATTTACAAACCTGTCAAATACTTTAAAAGGCTCATAGCTACAAAATATAAAAGCTAAAAAGATGCTTGGGAGAGCATGCTTTTTGTGTGCAGAGGAATCTCTGTACGAATGCACGAGAGCCTGGTGATCTGTTCTGTACAGACTTCTCCATAACCAGCCACAAGACCTGAGGCCAAGAGGGAACTTTCAGGAAGTTGTTTCTTTATCTGTTGGGTAGGAAGCGGGTATGAAAATATCTACTGTGCACAAGGTGTTTTGGGAAGAGATGTGTATTTGGGAAGATATGTTTGGGGAAGAGATGTGTATTTATGTGATGTGTAATGTAAAATCGGTAGAGTAGAAGCTCTCAACCAACCTCCATTCACTTACACACAGATTAACCAACATTGCCCTCTGTAAAATACACAATTGACGCTCACAGCAACTAAAACAGCCTTTCTCTAGTTGATTTTGCCCCTCACCTGTTTATGACTGTGTGTAAACACAGAATTGCTCTTTCTATGGACATTAAGTCAATAGCACTGGAAAAACTCAGTAACACATCCAGAAAGATTTGCTATGCAAATTGCTTCACAAATGTCTTTCAGTTCTCCTACTTCACTGAAATAGAGACTGTATTTCACAGATGATGCATTATATGCGTGGCTGATCCAGAAAGACACTTTGGAACTCCATTCATCCCAGACCCATGCCCATGGACAGTCCTTGGTCTGGTGCTACTTCCTGCTTGCCCCTACAGATCCACACTCCATTCTTCTCTACCTGACTGTGTGCCCCAGGAAAATCCATCACTGGGCTCCCTTATCTTCTGGCTGCCAGCGAGGCTAAGCCAGTAGGAGGCATGACAGGAGAGCGGGAGAGGAAGGAGGGTTGCCAATCATTGTGTTTCTTTATGAAAGGCCACAGCTCTCATCTTGCAGAGTTCTCCTTCTGCTACAACTTTTAACATTCATCTTTTCTGGATTCTCCTATTCGGCCTTTGTATTATTCTTACACTAGACACTGTCACCTGTCTTTCCCCACGCTTCCTACCCCCATCATCAAGGCTTTAACCAAGACTTCTGCCTCTACATTTACTTTTTTTTTTTGACGGCTGGTTGGTACCAGGATTTGAAAACTTGACCTTGGTGTTACCAAATACACTTGCTTCTTAAAATCCATCATCTCCTCACAAGATCCTACCCATTCGTCAAGGCCCAATAAAGTCTGAGCTTCTCCACTACTTTAGCCCTCAATTTTCCAATGTGTTAGTGTAAAAATAATTAAGGTAAATCAGCAAAGGAGCAGTGAGCTGCAGAGAGAGCTGTAGCTGTAACTGAAGAGTCAGACAGCTATTTGATGACCTTGAGAAAAGGACTCAATTTGTCTCAGTTTACCTATGGAAACTTGGGATTAATAGTTGCTCTGAGGATTAATTGATAATATATTTGCACTTGATACATGGTGATGACCAACTCACAAAGCAACCTCTACTGTGAATTTTTATTCTCCTTTAGGCTCATATCCCCAATGACCTCTATGCCATTTCCCTTTGAATGAGCTGTGAAGAAGTCTTCTTTGCCTCTCCTGAGGTTTCACTTGAAGCTTCTCTCCACCTTCACACACTCCATTCCAGAGGAGGTAGAGTCTCACTGGAATGGTGAATTTGGAAGGAGAAACATGGTATGTGGAGCTCAGCCCCTTTTGGAAGCCAGCTGCTGAAGCAAGTACTCTCTTTGGCTCCTGCACCCATAAATGCTGGACCCTTACAAGTACCCATGACTAGATAAATCTGTTGAATCCTAAGGCTCAGTACTAGGAAGTTCACTTGCCTGTAGGTATGTGCCACATTCTCCAATATAGCTTTATTAGTAATAGAGGCAATAATGGCCTCCCAAATTCCCTCCCCTCTTTTACCTTATTTCTCAATTGGTATAGAACTCAGTCAAGGGAAGAACACTGCTGTTTACTGGGTCACTCAAAGACCCTAACGTCTGGTACATGGGACTGGACTCTTGATAAACAGACATGAAGTAAAATTCAGGGAGCAAAATACGAGGGATCTTTTAAAAGTTCATGGAAAAATTCATCTTATCTTTTAATTCTATTTTTTCACAAAATTTTTAAAGTACCCTCCTACATGTGGAATTTTTGAGGCTTCTGTTGGGGCCAGGACTTTGGGCCTTTGACTTTAATGAGGGAGCAAAGTGTTTTGACCTTGCAGGGGCTTACATCAGCCACGTGAGATTTTACAGTTGTGCAGTAGCTTTTAACTACAGTAGCTGAATAAGAGGTTTAAAAACCATAGGCCACGCAGTATTTTGACCTTAGCGGTAACTGTAGTTATGGTAACTTTGTCTTCAGATAAGTGGCTGTTTCTATAGAGACAAGGCTACATGCATTAGGTATATAAGCCTTAGCAAAAGCTTGGGGGCATTGCAGGCCTCACCAAAGAAATAAGCCACAGTCGGCTGTGGTGGTGACAGTGGTACTGAAAGCTCATGTAAATGTCAGCTGTTCAGGTGGCCTCAGCGTACACTGGCCACTCTGGCCTAGCAAGCAAATGCCAGCTGTGCTGGCCTCAGCAAAGGGAATAGGGCATTAGCAGGCTTGGATGGCTTCAGCATACAGAAGGCTTCTGCTGACCTTGAATTATGCCGGTACAGCTTTTCCTAAGCAGACATGGCTAAGGCAAAGATTAGACTCTAGGGAAAAGAGATTTTCTTAATACAGGCCTTTTAGACATTAGAAAGAGGAATGATTATTTGCTGCATATAAGCTGCAAGGCAGCTGAATTGCAAATAGCACATGCATTACAAAACCAGTGAAGTTCTACATTTAAATTGTTTGGGCTAGACTTATATAAGTGATTCAAAGGGGAAATGGAAATTAAGAGGTTTCTGACTATACTGGAAGGAAGGACAGAGGCAGACATACCCCTGGCTGACCCTGACTTACTAGTTAAGACCAATGCATTAAGAGACAAAAGCTGGAATACGTTAGAGGAGAAAACCTTTTTCCCTTTCTTGATGCTTCCTTCCATGTGGGACAATAACAATTTTTTAATATTCTTGGCCTTATCACATCTCTGTCAGGATGAAGTGACTTATCTGATTAGTATGTCTGGAAGAAGAAACTTGGACTAGACTTGCATAGCCCTTTTCTCTCCCCTTTCCCTTGTGGGCACCTATTCTGCTCTGCTTCTTCCCTCTTCTAGGAGGCAGGTCTCTCTCAGACTAGTGCTGCTGGGTGGATAAACCTGTTAAGTTCTGGAGTTCAGTATTTGGAAGCCTACTTGTCCTTAGGTATAACTAAGTTCCCCTATGTCAACCTTATTACTAACTAAAGTGACATTTCGGTCTCTAACTGCCTTGTTCCTCTGTCCTATATTTGTTGGTTTAGAACTTGGGCAGGGAAGAGAATATTATTTACTGGGTCTCCTTCCATCCCAACTTATATCTGAAACTTCTCCTCCTCAGAATTAAGTTCAGTTTTCCGTACCAGTCTTATCCTCCTAATTATCCCACTACCATATTAATAACATACTTTCACTTCCTAAGCTTTCACTAACCTCGTCTCTAATTACCCTGACTGCACACACTACTCTGCACTTCACTCAGGCAAATCTTTTTCCGCTCCCTTCACACAACTAGCTCATTTCTGTCTATGCACATACTCCACTGGAAATCCCTTCCCTTCATCATCAATCCACATCTCTATCCTTCTCATATCCAGTCAATTTTTATTTCTTTTCTTTTTTTTTTTTGTCTTTTTGTCTTTTTTCGTGACCGGCAATGGATCGCAACCCTCAGTGTCGCGCCCGTACCGGACCGGGACCGGCAACGGGATCGCAACCCTCGGTGTTGCGCCCGCACCGCGCTCAGCCAGTGAGCGGCCGGTCTGTATGTGGGATCCGAACCCTCGGCGGGAGTGTCGCCACGCCCCCAAGTGGCACACTGTAGCAGTGCGTCACCGGGCCGGCCCCCCAATTTTTATTTCTAAAAATCTTTTATTTTTTTCCTTTTTGTCTTTTTTACTGACCGGCAACGGGATCGCAACCCTCGGTGTTGCGCCCGCACCGCGCTCAGCCAGTGAGCGGGAACCGGTCTCCACATGGGATCCGAACCCTTGGCGGGAGCGCCGCCGCACTCCCAAGCGGTGCACTCTCCAGTGCGCCACCGGGCCGGCCCTTATTTCTAAAAATCTTTACCGATTAATACCATATAATTTGCCTACTTACTACATGTCATATCAATACCTATTTTTCTCTTTGTCCTTTATTTTATTTGCTCCCATGTTTTGTTATTGTTTTGGAACTATCCGTAACAGTTTTTAATGTGTTTCTTGGAAAAGCCTTGATGACATTCTTGTTTGAACACGCAGTTTACAGTTGGGTCTAGGGGTCTAGGTCAACTTTACCATCCTCCTGACAAAATGGAAGGAGAATAAAGTAGGCAATGCAGAAGTGTATAGTGAACCAGGGGTTCCACTTGGGAAATGACACAGGATCTAACAGACCCTTTGGGTATCGGTGCTAACAGAGTCATGAAAAAGTCAAGGCAAAGCCCACTTATGTGAAAATTAACTGGAGGGGTGAACAAGTGGCACCAAAGCTGTCACAAGGCAATGTGACAACACAAGCGTGTGATTTCTGCTTCAGCATATCACTTCACCTTGGAGCTGTCACCAGTCTGCCATACGTGGTAAGTGGTGGATAGTTTTAACCAGGCACAATGCTCAGCACACACAGGACAGGACTCAACAAATGTTAATGACTAAATACGAGTAATGTCATACAGCACCTGTGCAAGGTTTTCTATAAAAGTTGAGAAATTGGTTAATATGTTGAAAGGATGTTCACAGGATGCAGCCCTCACCTGTCTCTCCAGCCTCATCTGCTTTGTCTTCTTGTTCTCTTTGTTACAGCCATACTGAACTACTTTCAGCTTTGCCAGACTGTTTCAGGTTTCCATGTTTTTGTTTATTTCACTCCCTCTGCCTTTCCCTTCCCTGGTGCCATCAAGGGAACACCCTACTTGTCACTCAAGACTCACCTCTTATAAAGTATTTCCTGACCCATCTCTAGGCAGAGGTGACAATTCCTTCCTCAGTGGCCCCAATGGATCTTGTATAGATTCTATTATAGGGTCAGGAAATTTATTGAATTATTATTTATTGAATTTATTTGCTTACATAGATGCCTCTATGTGATAGGGATTAGATTGTCAACCCTTAACACTTTATTGAATTTATTTGCTTACATAGATGCCTCTATGTGATAGGGATTAGATTGTCAACCCTTTGATACCAGACACTATATCTTGTTAATCTCTGCATTCATAGTCTACTTAAAACTGTGTATCTGGCATTTAATAGGTATTCAATAAGTTTCAATGAAAGAATGACTGAATTAATCAACTGAAATACTTTTTATTTAAAATGCAATAATATCAATTCAATATACATTTACTCTGTCTCTACCACATGGCAGATGGTGCTGGGCTAGTGTGGTGTACTGAAATGAGCTGTGGCTTTGAAAGAGCAAAATCATTCTTCTTTGTCAGTTATTAGCTGTGTGATCTTGGGCAAGTTACTTAACTTTCTAATCCTCAGTATTTTCATCCATAAAACTGGGTAGGAAGAGGTGTTATAAGGAGTAAATTAAACAATGTATGTACAGTTCTTAGCAAGGTGTTCAGGAGCAGCCAATAGCCATTAAAAATAAGTTAGTTCCTTTCTAAGAAGTCTCAAAAGGTTTACAGAATAGTGAAGGAGACAGATACGAATAATTTTAATGTAAAATAATGAATAACAACAGGTGCTCTTACACAAATGAAAAAGAAATTTTGTCAAGAGCCTGGGAGTAAGGCTAGATACTAGGAAAGATACAAAAAGGAAGAATAGATAGTTTCATTCCTCTCCCATCTTCTGAACTTTAAGCAAAGAGAAAAGCATCAACCAAGGCACAAAATAATGAAAAAGAACTATATATCTAGGAAACAGAAAATGGTCTGGTAAGACTTATAGGTGTGGATTCACTAAAAAGAAGCATGAAATGTTGATTAGAATTAGGTTTTGAAGGGCTCTATAGCACAGCATCTGCAGCAACTGGGAGGCATGAGATCTGTTTAAGCAAAGGAGTAACAAGAGGAAATCTGGCATTTAGAAAGCTAACTCTGGCAGTAATATGGACCTCAGACTGGTGCAGGGAGAGATGAGAAACAGAAAAGCTAGAAATACATTCACACAAAACCATGGAATTGCTTATCCTAACAACTAAGTTCTAGCTTTATAGGATGAGGCACCAAAAATGTCAGTATCAATCTAAATACCAGTGATTTTAAAGGGACCTAGGCAAAGTAGGAATGCAAAAGGCTGGTGTTGATGGCTGCTTTAAATATCCTTCTAAAAGAATTCTGGAAAGGAGCAATAATGTCAGAATGTACTTTTCTTCTTTTTATGGTGAAGACTCTCCCCTTCCATTGCCAATACAGGGTGAGTATAAATTTTAAAAACTTACCTTTGACAGTATCTGGGGCAATACAAGCCCGTGAAGATGAATCTAGGTTACATTCAGTGCAAAAAACCAAAACCCTGAAAAGAGAGAAAATCACAATGAGCCGCACACTCACAGCAAGGCGCCACAGGAGGCAGTGGGGTGAGCAGACTAGTAGAAATCCGGTCCTCCATTTCCCAGCTATTGTCCCTTGGGCCAGTGGCTTAACCTCTCAAGGCCTCAGCTTCCTCATCCAACACTGGAAACAACAGCATCTTCCTCACAGGGCTCTTTTAAAGTTTAAATGAAATACATGTAAAGTATTTCGTACAGGGCACCAAACACATGCTCAATAAAGGCAAGCAGTTCTTAAGATGAGTGTGCCATGGGCTCGGCCCCTGGACCCCTCATATAAGCCCATCAGCAAGTCCTATCATTTCGGCTTTCAAAGTTATTTCTCAGACACACCCACAATTATTTTCATGGCCATCATCATTTCTCACTTGAGGAGGCCTCTTAGGTGATCCTCTGGTTGCTACTATTGCTCCTCCTCAATTTATTCCCAAATAATGGCTGGAATAGCGTCTTCAAAATCAATTCACAGGAATTTGTTAACAAATGGTAGTGAAAATTTTACTTATTTCATGATGGAATGTCTCTCTCTATGAAACATTTATTCATATATATGTGAATATGGAGATATATGAATATATATGAAAGGGCCAGTGCCTTCATATTACAATGGCAGAAACAAGTGCCAGAAGGATGTCTTGCTCAAGGTTGGCCCTACCTATGCATGAGAAGGTGGTCAAAACAACAGTGAGCCTGGCAGAAGCCTGTGACCAGCATCTGCACTGCTATTGGAAAGCTGTCACTATTTGGAAGCTGGCCCCTTAGTTTCACAACCAACCTAATGCTTCTGCCCAAGAAGGCACATTCCATTCCCCATGGTTACAGATTGTAAGTTACAGCTTTAGTCCCACATTACGTCACAGTGTTTGAGGTGGTGGTTTAGTGAATCCTGAAAGCATCTTGCTGACCTCTTATTTGTCATCACTTCTACTTTGGCTTACTTTATTTAACAATGTTTAAATCAATACATCTCAGATTGAATTGTGTTGTGATGAGAACTGATTTAATTATTCTCCCTATCCCCCTACTACACACACAGTAGTCTTTCTCAAAAGCAGTCTTTCTCAAAAGCAAATTTGACCTCTGGGTGTGTTGCTGCTTAAATTCAGTCACTAACTAACCCATTACCTTTAGGCTAAAATCTAAGATTTTTCCAGACCCATCATTACTATACATACTAGTCATGTGGACTGCAAGTAGCTTCCTCGCCACCTGCACTAATGTCTGCTGAGGGCCCTTTGCCTAACTCCCTTCCACTCCTCTTTCATCCGTCTCAGGTGTTATCTCCTGGAATGTTTCTGTTCCCTCCTTGGCTGGATAAAGTGTTCCTTCTCCAAGATATATCATATTATATTGTTAGTATCTGTAGGTCTGTTTTCTACAATCAACAGGTACTCCTTCACAGCAATGTCTTCAACATTTTTAAATTTGGTATTGGGTATGAATTCAATAAACATAAGCTAAACTGAATCCCAATTGGATCCCAGTAATTCAGGACTTTAATGTGGACACTTCCCCATTAAATGGCACTGGTGAAATCTGAAGAAGTTAGCTCCAACTTCCAACATGGGTCTGGTCCTCACAGACTCGAGGCTACATGGTTACCTGTGAACTCAGCACCTCAAAGAATAATCAGATTCTTTAATTTTTTGTCAACCATAGACAGTAAGAGAAAAACACTAATTTTTAGTTCCCTATTCTTTTTTTTTTTTTTTCCTTTTTGTCTTTTTTCGTGACCAGCAACGGATTGCAACCCTCAGTGTCGCGCCCGTACCGGACCGGGACCGGCAACGGGATCGCAACCCTCGGTGTTGCTCCCACACCTCTCTCAGCCAGTAAGCGGCCGGTCTGTATGTGGGATCTGAACCCTCGGCGGGAGCGCCGCCACGCTCCCAAGTGGTGCACTGTAGCAGTACGCCACCGGGCCGGCCCCCTGGACTGAACACTTTTGATTATTGCTTTCCTCTTTACCCTGTCTCACTTCCCCACTCTCTTACCATGATTCTTGGGATCAGGTCCCAAATAAATTACCTTGTTTCAGAGTCTCCTTTTGGGGAAATAGACACTAGGACAACCT